AATAAATAATGTTTTTTTGGAAAATCCCTCCCTCCAGCTCCTAACCTCAGAGAGCAGGGATGTCTAATGTAGATAGTAAATGACTAGAGATGGCAGTGAACCACTGGTTGAGTGGTTTGATGTGGTTCATTTCCAGAACAAATAGCTGATCCACTGTTTGGTGCCCCACACCCTCCATTGAATGCCCCCTTGATGGCAGTACCCCGACCTCCTCTGGGGCCTGAGTGGACACCTGCTGGAGTGGGTGAGGCGCTGAACTGCAGATCACCTGCTTGCCTGGGAAACGAACCTTGTCAAACTGTCAGATCAGTGGTTCATGCCCGTTTCTACAGGTGACATCTTTGTCCCTGCTGATCAAAGAGTCCTAGCATTTTGACCCAATAAACCCTTGTTCCACTACAACACAGCTCTTGTGTAGAAAGACGATCTTGAAAACTATACTGGATCTCAAGCATTTGGATGGGAACCTTATAGACATCTACTTTTCTCTAGCAGCTGATACAGAAATGGAAAGGAATGAGAAATAAAAACGAAATGAAATATTTATACAAGTGAAACAATTCATGTCCTCTGAGCATGCTCCATCTTCACTGGCCTTTAACTCGGTTTGTGTCTGTTCCTCCTTAAGATTCTCTCACTTGCATACTTTTGCAAAGTTTAGACTTCCCCCAAGCCTTCTGACACCAACTTCTTCTGTGTGGATGGATGGGTGTGGATGGAAGCAAAGTCATATATATGTATGTGTAGATGAATATGTATATGGAGCTACATAAAGACACACTTGGAGAATAAATTCACTACCAGTAGGTAGAATAAGGTTGTAAATCAGGGGTCTCAAACTCAATTTACTTGGGGGCCACTTGAGGCAGAGTCTGGGTGAGGCTGGGCCACATCAGGTTTTCCGCCAAGCGGAGCAAGAGCCTGAGGAAGCCACCCAGGAGTTTCCTTAGCCCGGCTGGGGCTCCGAGGATGAGGGGGTCGTGAAGGGCGCGCGAGCCCTCGTTGCCCTTCATGACCCCCTCCGGCCCTTTCTTCACTACCACCACCACCAGCAGCAGGATGAAGAAGCAGAGAAGGGAGGGAGCACCAGCAGCCGCCTGGGGGGGGGAGGAAGGCATGACATAATTTTTTTTAAAAAAAACGTTCACAGAATCGCCTTGCCAAAGGAGAAAAGCCCCCATTGGTACCTGTGAAATTAAACAGAATGGGGAGGCCCTCCCACAGGTGCACGCATGCGTGCGCACACACAAACACACACAACCTTCCTCTGAAGGCTCCCCCTCAAAAAAAAGCGCACTCAGCAGCAGCTACCCCCACCACGACAGGGGAGCAAACTTTGCGAGGCAAGCCCAGGCAGCCTCCAGAGCTGAGGCGGCTGAAGCAGGACGAAGAGGAGGAGGAGGAAGCACCGCCGGGTGCTGAGGTGGCCGCTGTCTGGGCTGATGCTGGGGGTGCAGAGAGAAAGAGAGCCAGAGAGCCGCTTCCCTGGAAGAGGCAGCGGTGGCAGCTGCTGTTGGTGGAGCTGTTGGAGGCACTCTTCGACGGGCTGTGAGTGAGCTCCACTGCTCGGCAGCAGCTCAGGTGCTCAGGGAAAAGGGATGGCAGCGCGCCTCACTCACCGGCTTTTCCCCAAGACAGCACTTCTTGCACCCTCCATTCGGGGAAAACGGATGCAGCGCGCCTCATTCACTGGCTTTCCCCCAAGACAGCACCTATTGCACCCTCAATCCGGAACTGCAGCCTGCCAGCTGGCAGACAGGCAGGCTGGCTGGCAGGCTGGAGTTCGGGATGGAGGGTGCAAGAGGCGCTGTCTTGGGAGAGAGCCGGCGAGGGAGGTGAGGCTTTTTTTGACTCTTGACAGCAGAGGACGCGTGGGCGCTTTGGGGGGGCAGGCAAGGCAGGGGCTGCAAACTATCATCCGGCGGGCCGCAAATGGCCCCTGGGCCGCATTTTGAGACCCCTGTTGTAAATGCTTCTTATACAATGGATATAACCCAGCAGCAATAGGACTTTGCTAGTGGTGGTGCTTTTTAAAAATTAAAGACTTTCCCCTGTCTTGCAGCCCCCAACAGCTTCCCCTTAACAAAGGAAGTACTAAGGAAGAGGAATCATACATTTTTATTTTTTGAAAACTAGTATACCTGATAACATCAGCAGCCTTAGATGGCATACGTTAGGTGGCTGTATTTCAGTCTAGATTTCGAAAGCAAGAGGCTTTAGAGATATAGCCTTTAGCAAAAGTTACAGTGTGGGTCACAAAACCTCAAAGCAATGATCTGTGTAACCAAACTGTTGTTTTGAGAATGAGGTTGAAGTTCACATTCCATACATCAGATCCATGCACATTGTCTTGTAGTCTGAGAACAGCTGCAACAACACATTTCTTTCTTAAGGAAAGAAAAGCTGTCAGTTTAATGCTGATATGGAGCAGAGGGCAGGACTTATCTTTTAAGAAGGATCCATTGAAATGCTCATGTTCATTTCTCTGGAAAAGGTTTTGGGAAACAGCTGCATGTGTTGGCGGAGCATAACGTTGCAATTTTTGGAATTCAAACTCTGATAACCTGCACTTGATCAGCAAACCTGTTGTAGTTTCAAAATTGCTTGACGGCCTGTTTTCCTCCCTTTTTCATTTCCTTTTTTTTTTTAAATAAAATTACGATTCCAGCAAACAACAAAAACCACAAAAGATTTATTGAACCTCTAGTGGCTGGTTGTGTCACAACCTGGGCAGGCCTGAAGAGAGCTCATTGTGCATCACTGTGTGAAAATGTACAACATGGGGTGAGATGACCACGTGTAAACATATTTCTTCCTTGGTAGCAAACATAGGGTGGAAAATAGGAGTGACGGATCAAATTCTGAATGAGTCAGAACCAAGTCAAATACTATCAATCATTCTGCATACACATGATATTGACATAGGCTGCTTTTTGGTACTAAAGATGACACATCTACCTAGGTAGTGTACACAGAAAAATAGGCAAGTGTGTTCAGACAACAAAAATGAGCAAGGCACAGCAGAATAGGGTGGGTTCTGCCAAGGTGCTGCATAAGACTGTGGGCAGACATTTTTGGACCTAAGACACATAGGAATTAATCATTCAAGTAAAATTGTCTGACCTGTCACCTTTTGGTAAACTAGTGGTAACCCTAGACATTTCCCTAATCTTCTGTTCCCCACTGCACAACTACTGAACATGAATGAAATATAATAAAAAAATGTCTATAAACATCAACATGGAAAAGTTGACTCCCCCCCCCATCATGATGGGAGACATTTTAAGACAGGCAACAGAAGACCTGCAAGCCTTTCAATACTTTGCCCCTAACTAAGTAATCTCATGTATTTCTTCTGCCACGAGCCTGTTATTAATTTTCTGCTTTTGTTTTATTGTTTTTATCATTATCATCATTGTTTATGATTACGTGTCCTTTTGTTAGCCACCCAGAGAAGCAGCCTAGCTACTAGTTGGGCAGGATATAAATGTAGATAAATAAATAGAAACCCCTTTTCGGTAAGCATATAAGGATTATTTAAATGAGATTCACTCGATGCGCTCACTTCCAGTAGAGGTGGAGATTTCAAAGGATGCAGGGTTTTTTTTACTTTAGCTTTCTGCCCACTTTTGTCTAGTTTATCTTCTTTTGAAGATAAATGGGCAAAAAACCTTTTATTTTCCCTGAAAATCAGAGGGCCATCTGACTATCTGAGAAACTGTTTGGCTATTTAGCCAAAGGATACTCAATGTTGTCTATGTTGGCTTGGGCATGTCGTGAGAATGGCTGATAGTCGGTTTCCAAAAGATCTCCTGTACAGAGAATTAGTGCAGGGAAAGCGCCCCAGAGGAAGACCACAGCTGCAATACAAGGATATCTGCAAGCGGGATCTGAAGGCCTTAGGAATGGACCTCAACAGATGGGAAACTTTGACATCTGAGCGTTCAGCCTGGAGGCAGGGGGTGCATCACAGCCTCACCCAATTTGAAGAGACACTTGTCCAGCAGGCCGAGGCAAAGAGGCAGTCCTGAAAGCAGCAAAATCAGGGAGCTGGACAGGGGACAGATTATATTTGTCTTCAGTGTGGAAGGGATTGTCACTCTCGAATTGGCCTTCTCAGCCACACTAGATGCTGTTCCAAGTCCTCTATTCACAGCATGTCACCATAGTCTCTTGAGACTGAAGGATGCCTAATATAAATCTAAATCTAATATAATTTAAACTCAATGTTGTGTAGTGGACAGAGTGCTGGACTAGAACTCAGAAGGCCTGGGTTTGAATCACTACGGAGTCATGGAAATTCATTAGGAGAATATAGAACTTGTAAAACTACTCCTTAAATATCTTACATACCTCAAGAGCCCTATTAGAGATGCTAACAACACATAACAACAATTTAGCCAAAACGTGGATGTATTAAATTACAAATAACATAATTACTAATAATTAGGGTTTTTTTGGGAGGGGTAATGAGGGTATATAGGTTTTACATTTCAAAAGCAGGAACAGTAAGATGAGCAATGTCTTCTTGTTGTGTTCAAAAGTTACTATTTAAGGCCATTTGAAGGCATTTCATTGACATGGTGACAAACATTTTTCAAGTTTTAGATCATTCTCTAATCAATACTATTTTTTTGAAATGGGAAGCAATGAAATGGTAATGGGCTGTAGAATACATTTGTTGCACTGTAGCAACAATATCTTTCTTTCCAAATACTATGATGACTAACAGGGATGAAGCTCCACATTCAGCAGGCATCTCAGGGTTGTACTATTTTATCATTGCAAAAACTCTGTGAAGTAAGTCAGGCTGAGCAAAAGGGTAGCTTGCAGAAAGTCACCCAGTGCCAACTCAATTCTTTCTTATAAAATTTAAATTCTTTACCCTGTACTAACCAACTGGAACAATGTCTGTTTACCTTCTTTGTGACTAAGATAGCACAACCAGTTAAATCAAATGACAGAAATGGATGGGGCAGTCTTTCCTTTCCAGAGCATACCTGCGTCACCATTTGCCAAAGGATTGGACTGTCCAGGCTGGATTATGACTGGTCCATTCTTAAGGTTGTCAGGAGGTTCTGATGAAACCTGGAACAAGAAACTAGAAGTTAGTTGTTCCCGCTCTCGCACCACAATTCTGTTCACTGCTGAGTGTATTGTAGTAATAATAGATTACTGTATTTTTCTGTGTATAAAATGCCCCCCACTTTTCTAATCCAAAATTAAGAAATCTAGGTGGGGCTTAGCAAGTGTAGGTGGAAAGGGATCAAAGTGCTGCAGGATCGCTTTGATCCCTGCTTTTCCCTCCACTGGTTTTTGTTCTTGCCTCAGCTTACCTCTGTGTATAAGACGACCCTCAATTTTTAGTCTAAAGATTTTAGATAAAAGTATAGTGTTATACACAGAAAAATACAGTAAGCTATCATTTAAAAAAAAAGAATGAAACTGATCCAGTAATTTGAGGTATTAGCAGATTTGTAAAATGGCTGATATCCAAATTTTGGTCACCCAAATCACTGTACTGATATGCAGCACATCTTTATAAGGTGCTATTTGTGCTCTTGGGACCCTTGAAAATCAGGGATCCAGAGAATGTGGAGAGGCCCAAAATTCCTCCAGTTGTACATTGCTTTCTTCAGACCTTTTAATGAACATACAGCTACTGGATGTGTATGATCCTTCTCTTCCAATTCATGATCCCACATAACTAATAAACAAAACTGAACACACAATTTTAGTGCTATAATTCTGCAGTACAATTGCAAACTCACATGGAATATTTCAAACTAGCCATTAGTTGGAACATTCTTTGTCTCTAATAATGAATAATAATTATGTGGTGACAAGTCAGTTCTGACATATGGCAACCCTTTCTGGGTTTTCTAGGCATGCATAACTCAAACAGGGTTTAATTCTTTCCTTCTCCGTGAAAGCTACACAAGGCTAAACAGTCTGGCACTTCTCCCAGGAGGCAGAACAAGGAAAGGAACTTCACTCCACTTTTCTGGTTGTATGGTGTGCAGAGGATTGTATTTATACCCAATGCAGAATTTGGACATGGATGTTTCTTCTTTGGACCCTAAAGTATGATGAAAAGGAAGACAGACGACTTACTCCCTAGAAATATCTCTCTTCTCTAACAGCTTAGAAAAGTAATTTTGTGGAGTACAGCTCTCAGTGACCATGTTCAGAGCTTTAGTAAAAAAGAAAAGAAAAGGCAACTTGCTTCATCTGTCTTTTCTAGACATTCCTAAAGCAAGTCAGTCATAGGACAGCTTTGTGTTTATCATAGTAGGACTTGGGAAGAAAGGAGCTTAAGTGAAGAATTAGCTCCCTGCAGTCCAGAATAGGCAAAGAGCCAAGAGACGGTAACAGTGCTTTTAATACGTTGCCCTCTACAAAGGCAAATTTACTCTTCAAATTGGAATATTAGATCCAAGTGTTCCTACCCTCTTTCCAGCACAGCTGTCCTTATATCCATTTGTCCTATCATGCATCCACTGTCATGCTAAAGAACTAATAAATGTGCCAAAGTGGGAAACATTTGTTTTCTTGGATTCCAACTGCAAAAATCCAGTATGGCCACACTGTCTGTAGAATTCTGGGAGTTGTAGTCCAAAAGGCCAAACATTTCCTTTCTCTGTGTATAGGTACGCTCATGGACTGGATATCTATACCTATAAAAGTGACTGAAAGGTTTTTCTTGGGAATGAAGCTCCTTGTCCATGATCCACTCCGGCATGGTGGAAGAAACATAGTACACCAGACAAAGATGTTGAAAATTAAAAGGGCTTAACATTATGTTGGAGTTGTAAAAAAGAGAAGGGGACGTATTTACATCCCCTTCTCTTTTTGGACCAGATAGGCGGGATATAAATCAAATAAATAAATAAATAAATATGTGGTGACTATGTGAAAAAAGAAAGAAAGAATGGAAATTAATATTTAAAGAAATATCTGAAATAATTGGATTGAATATTCCAATGTCTCCAATATTAGCTTTATTGAATATGATTAAAGATCAACTGGCGAAAGAAAATAAGGATTTAATAGTAATAATGATTACGGCAGCAAGGATAATTATGGCAAGGAATTGGAGAAATGAAAATCAATTTAACCTGGAGGAATGGTATAGAGAATTATGGGACATGGCTATTAATGATAAACTGACATGTGATATGAAAATGAAAAATAACGATTTTAAGAAAATATGGAATGTATTTTTAGAACATGTATTTCGGAGAGGGAGGGGGTTTACACCGAGGGAAGAAACAATGAAATTTTGGAGTGAAAATGGATGGAATGAAGTGTAATGCTAGTCCTGAAGGTGATGGATGCACATGGGTAAATGTACTGTTTTGCATTTTTATTTTATAGTTTTTTTCTGTAGTAGTAGGTGTATTTTGTATTCTTTTAATAAAAAATTAAAAAAAAAGAAAATTAAAAGGGCACAGAATTATAGTCATAATGGCACTCTGTATATATATACTTGGATTTCAAGGAATCAAATAAAGCAGAGCTTTGTGCCCCTCTCTAGTCTGTTATTGTTGTTGTTTTCACTAGAGGCATCTGGAAAAAGAATTTGCACACTTTGTCAACATCTTCTCCGCTGCTGACAAAGTACAGAAACACTTTATGAATCCTGATGAAAGAATTATTGATTTTTCCAAAACCCACTGGGCATTTTATTGAAAGACATCACCATGGAGAACATGGACCTCAACCCAATTGATAGTTCAATAGGCCGATTGAAGCAATAATTCCCTACATCTTAACTTGCCATTCAGCAATTGATTCAATGCATATATTTGAGTTAAAACCGTCAGTTGCTTTTAGGATGTTTAACTCCTGGCTTTCTTTGTTTTTGTTTCCAGTGCCGCCTTCTGTCTTTTTTCTTCAAAAAACTGACGATAAACAGGAGTTTTAAAAGAGGCAGCTGTGTTAGTCTGTTCTTCCGTCTTTTTTCTCAAAAAAAAAACTGACGATAAACAGTAGTTTTAGAAGAGGCAGCTGTGTTAGTCTGTGCTGGAGCATCAGGCAAAAGAAAGAAAGAAAGAAAGAAAGAAGGCGCATCAGGCAAAAAAAAGAAACAAAGAAATAAAAAATAAAAAATAAAGAAGACAAAAACATTGCGGCACCTTAAAAACTAACTGCTATATTTTAATGTAAGCTTTCGTGGATACGTTATGTTATGTCTGAGGAAGTGGACTTATCCACGCAAGCTCACATTAAAATATAGCAGTTGTCTTCAAGCTTCCTGTTATGTCTGAGGAAGTGGACTTATCCACGCAAGCTCACATTAAAATATAGCAGTTGTCTTCAAGGTGCCACAACATTTTTGTCTTCTTTATTTTTTCTTTTTTCTTTCTTTTTGCCTGACTATAAACAGTAGGAAGAAGTAAATGAAGATAACTGCGAGGAAGAACTATACCCATGCTATTTGCATGTTGTTTCTTTTTGCCTGACTATAAACAGTAGGCAGAAGTAAATGAAGATAACTGTGAGGAAGAACTATACCCATGCTATTTGCATGTTGAAATATCAAAAAGCAGAAATCAATGTACAAATGCAAATTCGAATACTATGTACCTGAGGGAATATCATCCCTGCCCTGCCTCCTCAAGCAGCTTTTAATTTCAGTCAATATTGGCTTCAGTCCAGCAGGATGTAAGCCTGGGCTGTTTAGTCAGTTTGCACATGTTCAATACAATGGGTAAGAGACTAATGGCCAAGATAAAGCAGAATGAAGGTTTCTACTAAAGCTTACCTGAGAATATGCAGTTCCCTGAACAGGCTCTTCATCTTCGGACTGCTTTTCCAAAGAAAAGGAATTCCCCATTGTGGCAGCTACATTTGAGAAAACACAAAACTGAAGTTAAGGATACGCAGTGTTGGTTAAGTAAGGTAAAGGTAAAATTTCTCCTTGAGAATTTGTCCAGTCGTGTTCGAGTCTAGGGGGCGGTGCTCATCCCTGTTTTCAAGCCATAGAGCCAGCGTTTGTCCGAAGACAATCTTCCGTGGTCACATGGCCAGTGCGACTTAGACACAGAACGCTGTTACCTTCCCACCAAGGTGGTCGCTATTTATCTACTCGCATTTGCATGCTTTCGAACCGCTAGGTTGGCGGGAGCTGGGACAAACGGCAGGCGCTCACTCCGTCACGTGGATTCGATCTTACAGCTGAAGATCTACAGACCTTACAGCAATTAATGGAAACATTCCCTCTATTTTTCTGAATGACTAGAAGTTAGGTAGGGCACATACACCCATTATTTTCATTTGGGGGGGTCCCAATTAATGGAAACATTCACTCTATTTTTCTGAATGACAAGAAGGTAGGCAGGGCACATACACCCATTATTTTCATTTGGAAGAAAGTCACTGGAGATTTCTGGCATTTTGTAATATTTGATGGCATTTACAAATGTGCTGTGTCTATCCTTCAATAGACAGTCAAGGTCCATGACTTTTACCTCAGATCTCTAGAGTGCAGCAGGCAGCACTCAAATGTACCGTTAACTTATATGAAGGTATCTTTTTCAATATTTCTGCACGGGGAACTACACCTTGAGAAGCTGCTAATGTGATTTGCTGGTCATGGGCCTGATTCCATGCAACCAGCACCCCATCAGATTGCTATGACAGCTTCTGCATTTGAAGTTTTGTATGCAGATAAATGTTGAACAGGAAATTGGTTATAGAACATCAGCTCTCTGTTTCTCTGGGTTAAGCTATATATTGTATATTCCCTACAATCAGCACAATTTTCCTACAATGATGGAATTTCCTTAGATGAATATTTATTTATTTATTAGTTAGTTAGTTAATTTTATGTCCCACCTTCATTGTGGTTAGTTAGTTGGTTAGTTATTTAGTTAAAATATTTATAGGCTGCCTGTCTCCTGAAGGATCCAAGGCAGCTTACAGTATTAAAAGAATCATGTTAAAAGCAAACTAATAAATTATTGAAAATAATTTATATTACTTATTAATAAATATTAAATATTAAAATATAAATATAAATATTAAAAAAAGCATTAATCAAATATCGTATTACAACTCATGATAAGAACAATATTATGGTAATAATGCCTAACCAATCCAGCTTGCAAAGTAAGCTGAGATGTCTCTTCTAATGACCAATCACAAAACAAAGCACAACTAAATAAAATATATAGGTGAGGAAAGGTATGTACAATGTCAAATACTGTAGACATCTTGCACTACTTGATACAGCACAGTTCTTTAAACGTGTGCTGAGTATGTTGGCTAGAACCCGACTGGGGACTTATGCCAGTCCAAGTGTATTTGCATAAGTCACAGTAACAAATTGTTGGCAGTGAACAAGTTGTTGCACATGACCTGGACCACAAGCAGCAACTTGTCAACTAGAAGCAATTCATTGATATGAGTTGTATGATTATGCGAGCAAAAAATCCCACTCATGTTCTGGCCATTCTGTAGTTTCACCTACAGTCACAGACAAACTAATCTCTTGTTTCGAACTGTATTTCAAAGTATGCTCTAACTTTATTTTCAAGCACAGGGATCCTTAATGGGGAGAGAGGAGCTGTCTTCTCCTATCTCTCCTCCCCATTCAAATACATCCCTAACTCTGAAGTAGGAAGTCACTTGGTTGTTGGCTCCCCCCCCCCAAACTATGGAGAGAAGTAACACATTTCTCCTTCAATATTGTTTCACTGAAATTGGTTTTATTCAAAATAATTTAAATTTGATACAGTTTTATTAATATGTTTGCATTTTTATGGTGGGAGTCTGTGGTCGCAAAGAGAGACGGTCATGAACCACTGGTTTGGCGGTTCATGTGGGTTTGTTTGTTGGCCGAGCAAGTATTTGGCACTTCCCAGCCCTGCCTTCTCCATTAGGCGCCCACTCAGAGCCAGGAGCCAGAAGGGGATATGGAAAATGGGGCAGTGCCTGAGTGGGTGCCTGCTGGAGGAAGCAGGGCTCCAAAGCACCAAACACCTGTTCAGCCAATGAATGAACTGGCATGAACTGTCAAAGATAGGGATAACCGAGAGTGCTGGACACACAACAATGGGCTCAAGTTAAAGGAAGCTAGATTTCAGTTGCATATCAGGAAAAACGTCCTAACTGTTAGAGCAGTATGATAGTGGAACCAGTTACCTCGGGAGTTAGTGAGTGCTCCAACACTGGCAGCATTCAAGAAAAACTTAGATATGCTTTGATTGTATTCCTGCATTGAGCAAGGGGTTGGACTTGATGGCCTTGTAGGCCCCTTCCAACTTCACTTTTCTATGATTCTATAAAGTGGCGGTTCCTGCCCATCTTGAGTCATGAAATATTAACCCCCCCAAAAAAAAGCAAGAGAGAGAAATCAAAATCTACAACTGTGGTCCTGAAAGTTATCTAATAAATAAAATACATGCATTATTTTTAAAGATGTGTGTGTGCGTATGTGTGTCTACATACACAAATTCGAACATGTATATGTAAATCTGCCTCTTTGGCTCTCGTTTTTGGGAAATACACAGGTGAATACATTGGTCTGTGGCAGCCATACTTGGCAATACAAAAGGAAGTGGCATGAATGTGTGGTGAATAAAAGTTATATTTGTCCCTACCATCTAATGCACTGCTTGATAAGAACTTGATCATTGGGATTACTGACAAATACTATGCTGGTTTTTAGAAAACTGGACAGTGTTTTTTTTATATATATAATGCATTTACAAATAAACACAACTCATTTTATGCATTCGTGTTCTGTCCAGCTATTCTGCAGTGAGCTCCCCACACCCTCACTCTGCCTCAGCCTTATCCTGCTTTTGTTTTTTCACAACAACATTTCTAGCAGTGCGCGTACATACTTGTCTGCCAAACACAGGTTTTATACAGTAGTTTAAAGGCAGTATGAATTGGGAATGTTGTCTAGCCAGTTTGAAAAGAAAAAGCAGGTTCCTGGGGTATGTGCCAAATACAGACCATTAAAGTTTCAGCTAATTTCATTTTCACTGTGACAAACAGCAAACTCTCTGGGATGGCTGTAGTGGCTTCGTGCTCAAATATATATTGTTTTCATGCTACAGGTCCTTGGCTCAGTCCCCATTATGTCCTATGAATTGGTACGTTTGGAAAAGATTTGAGGCATAAAGCATGGCTTTGTGGCAGATTGGAGGCAGATTCATATCCATGAGTCTAAAACCATCATGCAGAGCAGGATTGTGGGACTTCCTCCCCCCAAGTTCCTCATAGCTTCGGGGGAAACATGTGGCTTGGTGCTGCATACTGCAGCTACCATGGAGAAATCCCTGCATGCAGGGCAAAAGGACCTGCATGCATAAGAAGAGGTGTACATATGCCATTCACATGGATACGAACACACAGATTCACAGCTGATTCTTTCTCATTCCCTTGATACTTCAGAGTCCTTGGCCATATATGGAGCCCACACATGTGAAGGAACTCCTCTTCAGAGTATCACCACTTGGGTGGGCTGCTCCCCCTCGATCCACATTTAGGGAACTGAATTCTGTCCTGCCAGAACAGAGGCCCCTCCCCCTCTGATGCCCCTCCAAAACAAATGTTGATTGAGAAACAAGCAGGAAAGAAACATGACCACAGAGAATGGAGGCCGGAGCATCATTAGACAATCTAGCTGTCACATTCTATGGCATGTTCTCCTGTGTTTCCCTGTCTAATGAGAAATTCCATCATGAGACATGGTGGAGGTGTGGTCTAGAAAGAGTTCTATATTTTTAATTCTGATGCCTTGGGCTCTGTATCTAGACCATGGTCCTTATATTTGCCTCTGTATTCAGCAGCATCAGAACTGGATTATGAACCTTGTACACCAAGGTCTGAGATGCCAGCCTATACTTCAGCTACAACACCAGGGAAAAATGTTGAGCATGTGGATTATGTCAAACATATAACTACCTGTTAAGTAAATATCCGGCTGCAAAGCCAGCAGAAGGACTCTGTAATGCATGCTATTTGTCTAAGCACCTGAGAAGAGGCAGGCCAGGCTAAAGAATACTCTCAGAAATGCTCCTTTGGCATTTTTCTAATCTTCTTGCTTTATCCCAGGAAATGCACGGGTGTCAGCAAAAGTGGTTACTGTCTCTCTGGAAAGCAAATTATTCTAATTCTTCTGATCTTTCTTTACAGAACCAAAAAACAGTTGATCCGCTTCAAAGCCAGCAGAAAAGGGATGGATCAGGAATGAGTCACTCAGGGCAAACAAGAACCACCTTTGGACAATTCAAACAGGTACACGGCTGAGCTCAAGCCATACTGCAAATCCTCCCAACTTCCACTCTGCCAAAAAGGCAAGCCTCCAGACTTCTTATGCCCTGCAGGATAAATTTTCTTCTTCCTAGACTGAATTGCAGTTAGCATGGAAATATAAGCATGTGGTTCTTCATGAAAGGGGAGATGGGTTTGTGGAGACAAAACATAGCTGGCAGCGGAAAAAAAAGGGTTAAGTGTCATTCCCTTTCCACCTGTCCCTTCCTAATCAAAATGGATGCCTCCAAAGCCTTATTTTCTACAGGAGGGGAAAAAAACCTTCAAAGATCTGGGCTGGGTTTGCCAGCAGCATAAGTCTATATCATCTTATGGCTGCTCTGTCCTTCTTTCATACATCAAGTGTTTCCTTTGTGTGACTGGTCTAAGGTGCATGACAGAATACTAGTGGTCTTAACCGACTAGATAGGCGGGATATAAATCGAATAAATAAATAAAATAAATAAATACTAGGGCTAGCTTCTTGTCACCTAAAAGTGGAATGGAAGGAAAATCATACATGACTCTGGCAGCCCCCACCCCCAGCATGACCAGTTGTATGACCAATCTTGCAATGA